TCTGTAAAATGAAAATAAAACTTACATCATAAGAATATGATATGTAAATAAAATAACTTCACACACACTTTATCTCTACAAAAATAACTTTTTATTGAATTATATAGAGAACATACATATACTTATAGATTATGTATAGAGAAAGGTGTATTGGTTTCCTATGACTGCTACAACAAAGTACTACAAACTGGGTGGCTTAAAACCATAGAAATGTGTTCTTTCACAGTTCAGGAGGCCAGAAGTTCAAAAAATCAAGGTATCAGTAGGGTTGACGCCTTCTTGGGAGCGCAGAAGGTAAGTCTGTTCCATGCCTCTCCTCTAACTTCTGGTAGTTCTTCGCAGCTGGCTGGTACAGGGTTCTGAACCCTTGACCTTGGTGTTATAACATCGTGCTCTAACCAACTGAGCTAACCGGCCAGCCCAGTTGCTGCTGAATCTTAACATTCATTCCTTGGCTTGTAGCAGCATAACTCCAATCCCTGCCTTTGTGGTCACAGGGCATTTCTCCTGTGTGTCTGCGTCTCTTCTCTTTTTCTTATAAGGACAGCTGTTATATTGGACAGCTATTATATTGCTATTCCAGTATGACCTCAATCTTAACTAATTACATCTGTAAAGACCCTATAATCAAATCCTTTTTCAAAATAAGGTCACATTTTAAGTTTCAGATTGACATGAATTTGGGGGGAACAACATTCAACTTAGTACAAGAAATATATTGCTAACATCCTTATTTTTATAATAGCTTCAGTAGGCTATTTTAATATTTTTTATTATTTTTTTAATATAAGAACTAGAATTGGGGCCTTAGAGGGGAAGATAGCAAAATGGTTGAGAGCTCAGGACATGGAATTTGAATTCCATCTGTTCCTCTTCCTGGTTGTGTAGTCTTGGAGACTACACCATCTTTAGCTGCCAGTTTTCTCATAGGGTAAACAGGGAGAATAAATAATACTTCGAAGTGTTTTGAGGAGGAGTATGTGAAGTGATGTATGTAACACACTTAGTATGGTATGTGGGCCAGAGGGACAATGCTTGGCTCATTCAACAGTGGCCGACCTGTGCTATAGGTGAAGAGGAAGTTAAGGTTTTTGTTCAGGTAAACAAAGAAGATTCATCATCTTCATACAGTTGCAGGCTAAAAGTACTGTTTGCAGAGCCAGTTGCATTGTTCTGATTTAACGTTTTCCTATTAAGATTTCTCCACACCTGGTTATTCCATACAAAGATGAATGATTTATCACTACTGTGGACTCACATTCCACAGAAACACTGGATCATTTGTCATCATCTCTCAATGTCTAGCCCATCAACACTATATTCAGTTTATTACTGTACTCCAAAAAGCAACTGCTTAAACATCATCATCATCTTCTTTTTCTTCAAGTTGTTTGTTGAAAGAATAATTTTAAAATACATAAATAAATAATTTCTTTTTTTTTCTTGTACAATGCACTTTTATTCTGCATACAGCTCTCATATCTATCTCTTCTCAAATCATTTGAATTATAACTGAAAAGCAAGAGTGGCATAAGCCAAGCAAGAGAGAGTAGCAAGGGCAGACACAGGCTTCTGCTGAGACTGAGATCTAGTTAAGGAACCCACATGCTTGAAAGGGGAATGCATTTCTCCCTGGTTACTTAGGGGTACAGGATAGAAGCCCTTTAAACCTGACCTGGATTCCAAACATGGTTCCAACTGTCTCTTCCCGGACCTCAGGGTTGCAGCTTCCAGGAAAAGTGTAGCCTGTTGATGACATTTTTATTCTCTATTCTGTCAAGGGCAGAAGGTATTTAACAAGTCACTTATTCGTTTGTTTTTTAATTTTATTTTGTCGATATACATTGTGGTTGATTAATGTTGCCCCTTACCAAAACCACTTTTTATTGAATTATATAGAGAACATACATATACTTATAGATTATGTATAGAGAAAGGTGTATTGGTTTCCTATGACTGCTACAACAAAGTACTACAAACTGGGTGGCTTAAAACCATAGAAATGTTGCCCGTTCTTTGTGTGTGTGTGTGTGTTTGAATTATATATTAATTTTTAGCTCCCACCAATAAGTGAGAACAGTTCTTTGTGTGTGTGTGTGTGTGTGTGTGTGTGTGTTTGAATTATATATTAATTTTTAGCTCCCACCAATAAGTGAGAACATGTGGTATTTCTCTTTCTCTGCCTGACTCGTTTCACTCAGTATTATTCTTTCAAGGTCCATCCATGTTGTTGCAAATGGCAGTATTTCATTCATTTTTATAGCTGAGTAGTATTCCATTGTGTAGATATACCACATTTTCTGTATCCACTCATCCGATGATGGACATTTGGGTTGATTCCAGCTCTTGGCTATTGTGAAGAGTGCTGCAATGAACATTGGGAAACAGGTATACCTTCGACTTGATGTTTTCCATTCCTTTGGGTATATTCCCAGTAGTGGGATAGCTGGATCGTATGGTAGCTCTATCTTCAGCTGTTTGAGGAACCTCCAAACCATTTTCCATAGGGGTTGCACCATTTTGCATTCCCACCAACAATGTATGAGAGTTCCTTTTTCTCCACAACTTCGCCAGCATTTATCGTTCAAAGTCTTTTGGATTTTAGCCATCCTCACTGGGGTGAGATGGTATCTCAGTGTGGTTTTGATTTGCATTTCCTGGATGCTGAGTGATGTTGAGCATTTTTTCATATGACTGTTGGCCTTTTGTATATCTTCTTTAGAGAAATGCCTGCTTAGCTCTTTTGCCCATTTTTTGATTGGGTTGCTTGTTTTTTTCTTGTAAAGTTGTTTGAGTTCTTTATATATTCTGGATATTAGTCCTTTGTCGGATGTGTATTTTGCAAATATTTTCTCCCACTCTGTTTGTTGTCTTTTAGCTCTGTTAATTGTTTCTTTTGCTGTGCAGAAGCTTTTTAGTTTGATATAGTCCCATTTGTTTATTTTTCCTTTGGTTGCCCGTGCTTTTGGGGTTGTATTCATGAAGTCTGTGTCCAGCCCTATTTGCTGAAGTGTTTCTCCTATGTTTTCTTTAATAAGTTTTATTGTTTCAGAGTGTATATTTAAATCTTTAATCCATTTTGAGTTGATTTTAGTATATGGTGAGAGGTATGGGTCTAGTTTCATTCTCCTGCATATGGATATCCAGTTCTCCCAGCACCATTTGCTGAAGAGGCAGTCCCTTCCCCAGTGAATAGGCTTGGTGCCTTTGTCAAAGATCAGATGGCAGTAAGTGTGTGGGTTGATTTCTGGATTCTCTATTCTATTCCACATAAATAAATAATTTCTAATTTTTGTTAGTTTAATACATTACCCCACTAAACCTTTTTAACTCTTTCAGATAGAAAACCAGGTATTTTATCTCAGTTTTTAAAAATGGGAAAATTGATGTTCTAAGTGATTACATGACTTGAACACAACACTTTGCTCTATCCTGATAGGTGGAGATGTAGTAGAACTGTACCTTCCACAACACTTGCATTTATTAGCTATATTCTAGGAGTTCATTGTTGACCATCTGGGAATGAAATATACAAATTTTAAGCAATATTTATTGTCTGTGGTAGGTCATATTCTTATCTATAAAGAAGACTCACTACTATACATTTGAATGGTCTTAAAACTTGGCCTGAAGTTACATTGTCAAAATCCATACTGGTCTTCTATTGGTTTGCTTGATTTAACACTCAACTTTGCTAGCTTGCTGTTTTCCAATTTGCTGTACTAAGAAGATTGGGGGGAGTTTTAAAAATCTGAACAAACTCTTTGCCAATCATAAAGCACTTTTATATTATGGTCCAAACTCTATCGTATTCAACTGATTTTGTGGAGCCATGTATAAATACAAAACATTCAGGTAGTACCTTCTAACACTATGCTTCTAATCCCCAAACAGGCAAATATTCTCAGGACCTTAAAAAAGTGATTTTAAGAATTTTTGTATGCTATTGCCTGTTATAAACTGATGCATAACTAGGCAGGCAGGGAATTTTAAAGACCAGTTTATAAAATCCAGACAAGCTGTGCATTAATTTTAAACCTCAAGAGGCCCAAAGTTGTGTACTAACTACCTGAATCTAAAGAAGCCAAATATGATAAAATTCCGTGTAATTCATAACAAGTTTCATATGCTTTAGATTTAGTATTTTGGCTCTACTTGTATTTCAGCATGTATCCACACTATCCTTTTGGTTTACTTTATAATAAGTACAGTGATTTCCATTTTAACAGCTACATATGACATATAAGGATGTACTTTTAACAAAGAGATGTGTGCAAAAGACAAGACTAGACTATTTTTGTTTCTTCTGAATTCACTGGGAGATGAACTAAGAAGTTCTTTCTCCATCTCTAATTTCTGTGACTGTTATAGGTTAGCCTGGTATTCTACCACATATAAATTTTTTTTAACAGAACACAGATTTCGTGAGTTTGTGGCTTGCCTGAACTTCCTTTTTTAAAATCCTGGACATTTGCAGATGGAAATGATCTCCATTGCTTTTTAAATTGCCCTTTACAAAATAAAAACACAAACACTTTGCAGATTTAGTTCAGAACATTCTAAGCCCTAGGAATCTTTATTGATACAAACTCACATAGATTAAGCAATGTGGAGATTTAGTGTAAACAGGCACCACTTTGCCATAGGTTTGGTAAAGATAAAGCGTTTCAGCACATGTTCTGCCACAAAGCATTTGTGAGTCTTAAGTTAGAGCTTCAGAATTCCCTCTGAAAAGGACAAAAGAAAGACTTCCTGTCATTTCCATTGGTGTCTGCATGTGGGACCAATATGGGCAATGCAAAGTTTAAACACATGCAAATGGTGAGGGGAGGAGGCAGTTTCATGCCTTGTTTTACATATTTCTCCATATCCAGATTGAATTTAAGTCAGTCTCTCCCTGGAGCTTCCAGAGCGGACTTCCACTGAAATTGCAGCATGCTTGAATGGTTTATTTCACCAATATTTGCTTATGGAAATGAAGGGGAGTGACAGGAGAAAGGGGGAAAGGCGTGGAGGAGGAGTTAGAGGCCGAGGGAGGCTCTGGCCACAGCACAGCGCACCAGTAACCCTGTCTGATGTGATCATTAACCTTTCTGGAATATGCAGCTGGCAGTTCTCTGAGGTTTGTCGTTAGAATGTGAGGAGAGCCACACAGATACTGCACAGACTATTCATAGACCGTTTGGTTTACTTTAAGAGCTTTTGCTCCACTTTCGTGTGACAGGAAAAATGAAATTTCAGCAATTCTTTTCTGTATTTTTTATTTTTATGATGAGTCTTCTCCTTATCAATGGACAGAGACCAGGTAGGACTTTAATACAACTTGTTTTGATGCCTCTTTGTGTCCCTGAGTCTCTAAGCATGATTGTGTTTACACTGAAAATGACTTAGGTGTGTTTGTAGATAGTAGTATTGGGGGTAAATGTGTAAAGTTTTAGAAGTATGCTATCTATCTTTCTGGGTCTATTATTTGAATATTGTTTAAAAGTGGCTTGATTTTAAAATGATAATAAATATTTTAACACTACTTTTCCAAATGTTAAAAAGAAAAATTGATCCTTAAGCTATTGTAGATATGTTCTCTTTAGAAGTAAAAAATGAAAATGTTGATCTGTTCATTATAGAGGTAAACAAACTTATAGATTTTTAGGTAAAATGAAAAGTTCAAAGCATTTTATTAAAAGGCGTGCTGCCCACTGGAGTAGGGCAATGTTTACTCAATTAACATATAAAAATCATAATGTGACAAAATGCAGATGAAATCTGAAAACAGTTCAACAGCTGTTATTTATAGTTATATAATTAGGGTTCAAAGCATTTTATTAAAAGGCGTGCTGCCCACTGGAGTAGGACAATGTTTACTCAATTAACATATAAAAATCATAATGTCACAAAATGCAGATGAAATCTGAAAACAGTTCAACAGCTGTTATTTATAGTTATATAATTAGGTATGTCACTTAAAAACTTGCAGTTTTTATTATTATTGTACTTATAGAGCCATAAAATGTCAAAAATATGTATGTTCAAGATAAATACTATTAATTTATTGACACCTTTTCAAGGATGATATCAGTTATGTCACATTTAACCACCAGGAATTTAGCAGACAAATTTATTCTAGTGTGCTTTTACTTCAAAACCAAACATCTAAGATTTCAAAGCACTGGTCAGTTAAAAAAAAATTAGAAACATAAAGTTTTCTGACTCAAGAAAACACAAAATCAAGTTTAAACAGAAAGGTGATAATACTGTCAAGATTATTCACTTGACATTATACTTCTCCAGTTAGAACAGAAAATGGTGCATAACTGGTTCAAAACTAAGACTCTGCCTTCTAAATTAGAAGTTTGAGCGATATGAATTTATTTTATTTTAAGTGACGTCCCCTGGTCTATCCCTTTACATAAATGAGAAAAAGTTCCAAGTCAGCAACTCAGAGGAAGCAGCTTGATTTCTTCTTATTGTTTACAGCAATTGCTATTCAAACCATTTCTCCTTTTCTGAAATACAGAACACCTCAGACAATGTTCTTGTAAAATATTTGTGATTAATTTATTACATAAAATAAAAGGTCTAGGAACTTTTAGGAAGAAATTATGTAAAAGAAGGATAATATTACTATTAAGATCTTACTATTAACATTAACTTTTAGGAATACACCTTGTGTATATGCATCACATTAACTTTTTATATCATAACCACATCTGAAAAATAGCAAATAATCACAGTATAGTTTGGCTTCAAAATATACCTTTACATTCTCCAGTTTTTAACAACAAGTAATTTTCTGAAAAGTAGTCCTAACATTTCTCTTTCTTCCTTCAGCTAATTTGGCCATGAGAAGAAAACTGCACAGACACAACTGCCTTCAGAGGAGATGTATGCCTCTCCATTCACGCGTGCCCTTCCCCTGAGGTATTTCTGACAGAAAATAGCTTCACTACATTTAGGCAATGTTCCAAATTAGAGACACCAAAGCATGTTTATTCATATTTTGTAATATGTTATAATGGCTTATGGTGATGTCAAAGTTTAAGAAATGCATACTTACAAATGCAAGAGTGAGATAACATGATGTTTGGGAATTGCTTTAATAGTTAAGGAAAAAAATGGGATAGATGAGAAAATACAGGAAAATCTTGATAATTCTTGAATCTGAGTGATAGCTCTATGGAGGCTAATAGTATTGTGTGTGTTTGAGATCTTCATAATTAAAAAATCAAGCACCAGGATAATTTAATTATAAAATTGTCTTTATATTTGTGTTTTAAAAAACTGCACAGCCTCAAATATTCTGTAATCCAGAACAAGCATGTTTCCCATTAAGACTACTAAGTACTTGAAAGCATTTGGACATATTCACCCAACACCACCATACCAATGACAGACTAGTCTCAATACTTAGGTATTTATTTGTCCTAAAATATTTCTTTTAATACAGAAAATCAAGTTAATATTAATGGCATGGCAGCTTTCTGGCCTCCCTAATAGTATTGGTCTTGACGGTTGCATCTTTGAGGATAAATCCTGATTAGAATTTTGCTCCTCCCTTTTTGTTTTCACACTCACTAAAGGACCAATGATTTTACATCGCCATCATCACCAATAATGCTGCTTGAATCAATTAACTTCAAACACTGCCCAAATATAAGTCATTCATAGTAAAAAATAATTTGGCATTCCAGTGTAATTATTTTAAGTTCTTTAATTCATTTAAAATATACCTTCCTTTAAAAAAATGCTATAGAAATATCCCTCAGCTGGTTAACACCCACAGGCAGTTGCTAAATTAGCCGCCTTATTTTTACCCGTCAATCTATGAAACAGAGAGAGGCTCTTTAAAAGAATAATGAGTTTAGTTGGGAATATAACATTGCAGTGGGAATACACGTGCCACAGTAAACTCCGTTCATATTCAGGGACATAAGGGAAGACAAGGAAAGGAAAAATGATGGAGGATTACACAATTGTTTCAGGACATTTGTCCTCTGCTACGAGGATCAAAAACAAGGATGACACCAGTCCAAGGCTGGACGGATCGTTGCTGGGCAGATGTCCTTGCTGACGTATTTTTTTCTGTAAGGTTGTGATGGCCTCTGTGCAAGGTTGTGGTTTTGCAGAGTCCTTTGTGACAGTTCTTATTATCAGGCATACATGCATGAGAACTCTCCTCTTATGGCCTTTCCCTGGCTTTATTTGTCAGAGGTTTTTTAACACAAGCAACTGCAATTTGATTCTGACAACTTTCACACCCCCTTGCGGTCACAGGCATCTGACCCCCTTGCCCAAACCTCTGCCCTGCCATCTAGCTCTTCTTTCAACTGTCCGGCCCTACATAGTCTTGGCCTCTTCACTCCATTCTCTCTTACCTCGGGCTTAATTGAAACCCAACTCGACCTTCAGCACAGAATCTCCACTTTGGTGGAGCACTTTATCTCCCAATTTTAGCAGGGCTTTCTGGAACTAACTCATCTGCTTGTTTTCAGGCATCTCTAATCCCCATTCTGCTATATTTCAAACCTTTAATCATCTCTAATAGTCTTAGACTTCTTAACCTCCTTATACAACTCACAGCAAGAGATAATTCCTCTTACCTCACAGAGAAAATGGAGATGATTAAGCCTCAAAATCCAATCCTGCCTTCAAACTACAAACATCTGCAACACTTCTTTTATTTTCCCTTCCTAGTCTTTCACTAAGAGATGCCTCTCTTGGGTATGGCTAATCTCTCTACACCTCAAAAATCTTGATCCAATTACTCCCTTTATCCCCCAGAATGTTCAACGTCAAAAGTGGTCTATTTCATTAGAAAGAGAGAGAGAGAGAGAGAGGGAGGGAGGGAGGGAGGGAAGGAGAGAGAGAAAGGAAACTCACCATTGACTCCATAGTGCTCTCTAGTGACCAGCCTATGTTCTTCTCTCTTCATAGCAAATTTCTTGAAAAGGTGGCTGTTCCCTTTTCTCCTATTTTCAACACACTGCTCCCCATTTCATTCTGGGAAATGTCCCTAATGACTTCCCTTTGCTAAATCCAGTGAACACATTTCAGTCCTGATCTCAGTGATCTCATTGTAGGTCAAATGATGGTTTTGCTTGGCTCCCATGACACCGTGCTACCTTATGATTATTTCTCTCTGGAACAAGTCACTACTCTTTTTAGGACGAGTATAAGGTGTCCAATTGCCTACTTGGAATCACCTTACCTATTCTGCAGGGACCTCAAGCTCATGTCTACAGTGCATATGCAAATCCCTACTATGGCTTCTGCAAAACTTGTTCTTGTACCTCAGTTTTCTGTTCCAATATCATCTGTCATCAGTAAGGCCTTTCTTGATGACTTCATAAAACAGCAATACCTCATCCTACCGAAGACACTCCTATTCCCCTTTTCCTGGTTTGTTTTTCTCCACAACTCCTATTGCCATTTGACATATAACATATATTTATTTTGTTATTATGTTTAGTATCTGCCTCTCTTCATTAAAATGTTAAGTTCCGTGAGAATAGGGACTTTGCTTTGGCAACTCAAGAAATATTTGATGAATTAATGAGTGAGTGAATACCTAAAAGTGAACCCTCCAATTCCTCTCACTTAGATATTTCTCCTTATGTGCTACATCATTCAATGTAAATTTCTGAGCACAGGACCCTATTATTCACTTTTAGTTTGTTTCGTCCGCCTTTCATTCTACTTTGAAATAGTTCTTAAATCTGCCCCTCCTTTTCATTTCTATTGCTACTGTCTTAGTGCCTGTTATATCTCTCCAATATGACTTCAGTATTTTAACTGATCTCTCCAGCCTCCAGTTTTGGTTCTAGAAATTCCATTTTTTCTTTTACCATCTGATTTTTCTAAATTGTAAAGGTTAAAATCTTCTACGGTCTTTATACCCTTCAGGACATTGAGAACTCACATAATTTTACAAATACCTTACAAAATGTACCTCTCCAGTCTCATCTGTCACCTCTCTCTCATCCCATCCCCTCTCCCAGAGGGTATAAGAGTTAAAACTGTGTTGGGACCACTTGGATTCAATTCTGGCCACATAGCTCACTCTCTGGTGATCATTTATCTGGTAAGTCAGTTATCTTCTCTAAGCCTCCCTCTACTTCCAGATCTATAAAATGGAACTAGTTGTGGTGCTTAACTCTATCACAGTAATACTTAGCACATAGTAAATACTAAATAAAAAGTAGCTAGGGTTATTATTACTACCACTTTAAAGTCAGTCCATTCTTCACCTCTTGCTGTTCTTCAAGCTATCCTTCTGCCTGCAATATCGTTTTTTTTTTTAACTTTTTTTCTCAGTATCATTCATCCCTCAGGAAATCTTCCCTGATTTTTACAACCCTACCAATTGTATTAGATGCCCACTTTTTGTTCTCAGAGCCCCATTTGTATAGTTCTATCAAAGTACTTGACTCACTGCATTATAGTGTGTTAACTGACTGTACTCCCTCTCTCCTCCCTCTGCATGCTATAAATTTCCTGAAGACAGAAGGTGGGTTTTATTTGTCTGTGTATCTTCAACCAAAAAATGTACCAGGAACACAGAAGGCACTCCATAAATATTGCTAAAAGAAATGAAATGAAACTTTTACTTATTATGTTTGCATAATGTCATCAGACAACATACATTTTCAGCTGTATTTCTTAATTTAACTGAACTATGGTTTCCTATCTCTATGCTGGAAATGTTTCCTCTTCTAGGAATTTATTTTCTCATTAAGTCTAAACTGTCCCCCTCCCCCAGATTCTCTTTAAATTTCATTTTTTATGAGGCCTACCATGATTCAATTAGCTTAAAATAATCTTCATTCTCCCGACATTCACAGAATTTTTATTAGTAGGTTTTTAAAGCCCTTTATCACATTCTACTTTATGTCTTTAGACTTTATCAGTATTGGAATATGAGCTCCATGAAGACAAGATTTTGCCCCTAAAGCTTAGGGTACAAAACTTTGCTTAATGTGAACGGCCTGAGACCTGCTTAAGTACAGGGGATCCCTGTGTGGACTGTAATATCTGCAGGACGTATTGCTTAAAACAAAATGTAAAATCTTACTATTTTTTCAATTAATCATAGTCCAGTGTCCAAAGACTATGCTCTAGGAAAATTCCTAATGTCCCTAATTTACTGATGAAATAAAATTTTTCTGTAAAGATCATGATGCCTTAATGACAAGTACCATATACTTACATATATATTTACATATTGACTATATAAATATAAAATTTATAATGATGTTTATAATATTATAAATATGTATTATAATAAATGTATATTCCCTATACAAAATATGTATGCGATGGACTGAAACCTAATTTCAGATTTTTTTTCATTTTAGAAACTGATTTCTCATTGTAACAATTCTTGCTGAGCTATTTACTTAAAGCAGCTGCTCTCTATCATGTTCAGGAATCTAAAATTTGCTTTTTAGCATAAATCCTTTGTTCTTAGTTTGTTCTTACTCATGTTTTTAATTAATGACCCATTGAAATCAGGTGAACTTTATTATTGCATGGCAGTAACAGATTTGAAAAATATATTATTCTTAAAAAAAAAGGAGAAATATATTATCCTTAGATAATAGCAAAATATATTATTCTTAGATAACAGCAAGGTAACATATATTGCTTTTTAGTTGACTTGAGAACAACAAAATTATTTATGATTAAAAATCTATGTCAGTACATTTCACCCTTGGATATATCTTTTTAAAAAATGTTGTATTGAATACCACAATTCTTTCAACACTATCACTAATATAAAAATTTATAGATGAATATAACTTCCTGATCTTAATAAAATTTTAAGTAACTATTACCAGAAACATTTAAATTCTTGTTAGTGTATCTACAATCCCTCAGAATATTGCCAGTTTATAATTAAAATCCTTGACAGTCTACCTGTT